GGGATATCATTATGAGCTGAGGCTATGCAGACAAAAATGCATGTAGCTTTTTCCTGCCTACAGAGGAAACACCACCACCACCACCACCACCACCACCACCACTACCACCACAGTAAAAATCAAGCCTTCTATATTTGAAGACATTATTAAGGTTCAAATACAAGCCTACACAGACAATCCCATATAGACCCTAAAAATCTCATTAACAAGCAACACCAGTAAGTTCTGAAAATCTCTATGGGCATTGTTTTACACTTATAATTAAACCTGGTTGATTCTCCTGTTACCAAAAAAAAAAAAAAAAAAAAAAAAAAAAAAAAAGAAAATAAAAAAAAGTGGAAAGCCACAATAAAATCCATTCTCAGAGAATCCAAGTCCATCCCTTTTCCTTGGCTTTCAGGCAGTTGGAACTATCAATTTTGCTTAAAACTCTTTAAAAAAACTTTACCCTCTTCAGTGGGCCCTGGCATGGTTACCAATGCCATACAAGTGGGGAAAAAGAGTTCAAGGGACAGCACGGCCTTCAAGTTCATGCCAGCAGATAGGAACTCTGAATCTCCTCTGGGTCTCACCAGTGACCCCATTTATCTCTCCTCCAATGAACAGGCCCAGCCATCATCCTATTAACAAGTACACAAGTGAACTAGGGCTACTCTTAATTGTGTAACCCTGCCAAAACTTTAGTTTCACCTTCTCTGAAACTCCTTTCTTTTTTGTTACCTTTCAAGCAAAGAGTAACACAGAAGAGAGGTGATTGCTCCTTCCACAAAGCACAGCATAATAAAATGTTTGATCAAAATATTTTAATAAAGATTCTTTCTGACATAGATACACATACAAATGGTCGTACATAGCTGTCATAGTCTGATTGACCTATTTAATATATATATCATTCTTTACACATCCAAAACCCGCCAGTAGATCCATCATAGCTCCCAACTCGCCATCCAACCTGACAAACTGAATTTGTATTATCTGCAAGGATTGGAAAATAGCAGGACTCCATTTTTAAAAAAGGTTTTCTTGATTTTCATAGGATAGAAAGGCAGGCAAACAGCCATGCAAACTAAAACTGAAAGCTCACTTTGGGTAAATAGCTTCTTGCTCTTCCTTAGTTTTATTTTATTTCTTTTTAAATTTTATTATTTTTTTTTAGAAAAATAACAAAGGATTTCACACCATAGGCAAATCAAACCAGTCTTTTAACTTAAATAATTCTCCACAGTTAAAATAACTTATATATGTACATATACATTAAAAGCGATTAAATTAGACCTTTTAAAAATGCACAGCACAGCCTGGAAAAATATTTGCTTAGCATGTTCTTACTTATAGGATCTATTGCTGTGATGTCTTTCCCTTTTAGAATGCAAAGGAGTCCCCTTTCAAAAAAAGAGATCAATTCATTCATCAATTAAGAATACACCTTTCCTGTAATTTTTGGACTGAAGCAATTTATTAAAGCTCAATTTAAATACAGGGATGATGCAACTGAAAGTATCCAGGTGACCTTTGATAAACCTAAGCAGCTCAGATACATCAATATGTCTCTTCATACTTGTTGGCAAATAAACCTTTTAAACACTTGGCACACAGTATAAGTTAATCTATAAAACAGAATTTTAGAGGCATTAAAAAAATCTGCACATAAGACCCATGACCTTAACACATGATAAATACTGTTGATGTGGAAGGGTCATTGAAGAATAACAAATAAATACCATGAATTGTTAATACATCATCGCAGAGTGAAAAGTAACAAGGTGCACATAAATATTTTTAAATGCAATTCTTTCAGCCACAGTCAGTTTTTTTTTTTATATCACTCTTGCCAAAACTTTTGAGCATTTTCACAGGATTAAAGTTCAGAGACAATAAAAAATACAAGTCTTTTCATAGCAACGTGTCTCTTTCTGGTTTTTTTCCCCCACTTAAATAAGTCTACATTTCAAGTTTTTTTTTCTCCTGGCTCAGAATCAAAATTTATTTTCAAGTGCCCTTTCTGATTTGTCTGAATGAATATTCTGTCCCACAAGCCACCCAACCCCGGACTCCTCCTCTGCCCCTCAGCACTAGCCAAATCCACAATCATGAGTAGGATTAGTATTTTGCCATTGAATAAATAACGCTCCACGCTTAATAACCAAGCGACTACTTCCCAACTTATTTTTAAGCTTCCTCTCGGTCTGGGCTGCCACCGAAGTCGCCACTTTTATGAGAAAAAAAAAAAAAAGACCCCCCCATACTTCATCCCAACTCCACCTCCCTCCTCCCTCCCTCCCCACCCCGAAGACCGAGATTCAGGGGATGTCAAGGCTAAGAGTCCCGTTTGTCTCTGATACTGCTCCTCAGTTCTCGCCTCTGCTTTGTTAGCTTTGCAAGTGTTTCACAACTACGAGGGGACCAAAATAAAAGGGGGGGGCAGCTTTTCACTTTCCTCTAGCTTTTGGGTCGGTCTTGGGTTTCCCGGGGGGGGGGGGTTAAGGCTTCTCCGTGCACTGTTTGCAGAGGCTGGAGGAGACGCTGTTGAACAGGGCGCACTTCTCCGGGCAGGAGGCGGCCGGGGGCAGCCCGGCGCTGAACGGGTAGCCGGCGGCCTGCTCGTAGGCGCCGAGCGCCGGGTGCAGGGCAGCGGCCGCCGCCGCCGCCGCCGCGGAGCTGGGCAGGGAGGCGGCCGAGATGGCCTGGCCCTGGTTGAGGTAGGCGACGAGGCGCCGCATCTCCTCTAGGGCCTGCGCCTGCATGAGGATATAGTTCTTGGCGAGCAGCAGCGTGGCGATCTTGGAGAGCTTCCGCACCGAGGGGCTGTGCGCGTAGGGGATGACCGCGCGCAGCTCGTCCAGCGCGTCGTTCAGGTCGTGCATCCGCCGGCGCTCCCGGGCGTTGATGTTGAGCCGCAGCGCCTTCTGCTCTTTGGACTTCTTGCTGCCGCCGCCGCCGCCGCCGCCGCCGCCGCCGCCGCCGCTGCCCCCGCCGCCGCCGCCGGGGCCCCCCGGGGGGGCGCTGGCGCCGCCGTGGAGGTGGGCGTTGGAGCAGCCCTCGGCCGCCTTGCCGCCGCCGCCGCCGCCTCCCGCGCCCGGGGAGCCCCGCGGGTCGCCGCCTCCGGCCCGCAGCACCAGCTCGCAGCGGCCGTCGCTGTCGTCGTCGGGGCTCTGCTCGCCGCCACTGCTCTCGGCCACCGAGCCCCGGCCCGCGCTCTCGCCGTACTTGAGGCACAGGGCGGCCCCGGCCGGCAGGCTGCTCAGGCTGGGGTCGCCCCCAACGCCCGCAGAGCCCGCGAGCAGCCCGGGGACGCCCACCCCGCCGCCGCCGCCGCCGCCGCCGCCTCCCCCAGGCGGTGGCAGCAGCAGCCCTGCCCCCTCGGGGTCAGCCGGCTCGAAGCAGCCCAGGGGCGACGAGGACGACGACGCCGGGCGCTCCCGGGGCGGCGGCGCCAGGGACAGGTCCATGCCCGGGGGCGTGGAGCGGAAGGCCGCCTCCAAGCGCTTGGCGGTGGAGGCGCTCAGGCTCTTGTGCAGGAAGAGGTCGTCTTCGCCCGCGGCGGCCGCGCCGAGGTGCAGCCCGCGCTCCATGGTCCGGCGCCGGCGCGCAGCCCCAGCCCGCCGCCTCGGCTGCGGAGTCAGGCGGCGCCGCGGACGCGCCCGAGCCGGGCTCCCGGGCTGGTGCGCGCGTCGGGCCCGGAGCTGCTGGCAGCCCTCTCCCCTTCTTTTTCTTTTTCGCCTTCCCCCGCGCTCTCCGCCTCCTCTTCTTCTTCTTCTTCGTCTCCAGCCGATGGTGCTGGCTGCTGGGGCTCACCATGGGCCGCGGCCCCGCATGGTGGGAGGGTGGGCGCGGAGGGAGTGGAGCCGCCGCCGCCGCCGCCGCCGCCGCCGCCGCTCTGAGCCCAGCCCCGCGCCGCCTCTCCGCACCGTTTATCTTGCTTGGATTCACCTTCAAGAGATTTCCGGACCCATCAACCAGCCGCCGCCACAGACGGGGGAGTCTTTTACATCATTATCTCTGAGTAGGTTATTATGAAGAAGACTCGCCTGTTGGGACAGCGCTTTCTACCCAATCAGGTTAACGTTTTAATTAATAGGATTAAAACGGTAACAAACAATCGCAGGCGCTATCTGGCCGCGAGTCTGAATAGTTTCATTTCCCAGGTCTGGAGACAGGCAGCAGCTAGAGCTTTATAAAAGGCGCCTGCTCCATTATTCTGCGTGCCATCTGTATACACAGCTCAGCGCATATGTTTGCAAGGCGCTGGGTCCTGTTAGTAACCCAACAACTGCCTTTAGCTTGACATGTGTGGCGACTTTCACTCATCAATGAGCACACTAAAAGCCCTACTTAGAGCCGAGGATGTTCTTTGCTCCTTCAGCAAATTGTAGATCGGCGGCAAAGCCTGGGAGTCCCGGGGAAAGCAGACGCCCCCCACCCCCACCCGCCCACCCCACCCCCACTGCCCTTCCCTCGCCGCCGCTGTCTCATCTTGTGCTAAATTACCCTTGCGGGCGAGAATTCCACTCCACCCCTGTTCGTAGGATGACTCTGATCTGGATTTGGGGATGGGAGTTTCCAGGGGAAGTAGGGTCCCGCTGGCTCGCCCAAAATTCACCCAAGGTTCTCAGCTAGTAAGGGAGCAGAGCACCGGGCCCCCTTGAGCACACCGCCTTACTGCCACCCGCACGCCCACTGCCCATTTCCTATCCGGATGGGGGCGGGGGGGGAGAAAAAAAAAGGAAAATGGAGAGCAACTTGATTATGCAGCCCATTAGATTAAAAAAGAAAGAAAGAGAGAAAAAGGAAGGGGTGCTTTTGCAGCCGTCTCCGAATAACTGCGACAGTCACGGTGATTGGGAAGCATACGATCTCCTAAACGGCAAGAAACCGATTTCTCAAACTTTGCTCCAGATTGTTACAATCCAGTGGTTGCAGGATAGCCAACTCCACCAGGAGTCGAACCCTCTCACTCACCAAGTGGGGCACTTGTGCCTCTCTATTTACCCGGAAGCAAACCCGACAGCTAGGAAGCGAGTCAGGGACCTCTGGCTCTGCCTCGGTGGTTCCTGGAGGGCTGGGGGTGGGGTGGGGTGGGGGAGAGCTGGGACAACGAGTGCTCCTTCCGGGGTGGGAAAGGGTGCACGCGGGCCCCTCGCTCCGGAGTTCCATCTGGGAGCACATGGTATTTAGCGGCTGCTTTCCATCCTTATGACATAAGTAAAAACAATATTTCCCAACACCTCCAATAAATCTTTCTCATGTGGCAGAACTACGGAAGCCTATGAAATTTTTGGTTTCTCCGGGTTCATTAAAAACCTTTTAATTGTGGCTTTCAGAGTTGGCCTCAGGTGTTGGGCTCTTTTCATTACATTTTGCTCTAATGTGATGAAATTCTAATTCTCTCCTTACCATATGGTTAAATTTCCCCACTGAGAATTAGTTGAAAAAGGAGAAATAATCTATTAATCTCTGTAATAGATTCACAAATGAGGTTCGCCACAGAACCTGTTTTTGAATGGTAATATCGGAACAGTTGGGCGCCTCGTTTCGTAGAGGAGGGGCGAGGGCGACGCTGGCGCGTCTGCGTTCTCACCTGGAAAGAGTGCAAAGGGGGCTCAGCGGTATCTTTCCGAAATAACTGCCTGAGATTCAGTCTCCTGGGGACAGAAATACTCCGCCGCCGTCGGTCACTTTCGCGCCTTCGGGTTTCCCGGAATCCAAAGCCCGGGGAAGAGCCAGCGGGCTGCGGGAGGCCGCGCAGCCCAGGCCCGAGGCCGGGGTCCTGGGAGGCTGCTGCCGGCCCACGTGCCTCGCCCGGGACTTCGTGGCCCGTCGACGCGCGGGGCGGCCTCGGGCTCAGCGCGGCCCTCCCCCGCCCTCCCCGGGCGCCCGCAGCTGTTAACCTCTCCCTTTAGGAAGCTACAGACACGCTCCTGTTATTGTTTTCCAATTAGCAGCTTTGTTTTCCCTGGGACCGTGAACAAAGGTTCTCTGTAAACGTAGGTGGGTCCTGTGCGCCTGCCGGTCGCTCCCCAGAGCCCTCGGGCCGCGGGGCGAGGGCCGAGGCTGGCAGCGCGGGGCTCCGGGGCGCTCCGGGGCGCTCCTGCCCCCTCCCTCCCCGGGCGCTGGCCCGCGCCGCCAGCATCCCTGATGGCCCCGAGCTGGGGGCCGGACGGGCGGGGGCTCGGGCTCAGCTCGCGGCCGCCCACCAGCGCCGACGTGGCCCCGCCCGGGCACCCCCGAGGGTGGCAAAGGCGCCGTCCGCCCCGCGGGGATCGCGGCCCCGGGCCCCAGCCTGGTCCTTCGCGGCCGCCACGTAACCCAGCCCCGCGGAGCACCCGGCCGCGGCCCTGCCCGACCCCACCTCCACGCCTCTCTTCCACCCCCTGCCCTCCCCGGCCACCCAAACTTCTGGAACAAACTTTTGGCGCAACTTTATTTCACTCGGTAGGAGCCAAAACACCTCTCTCTCTCTTTGGTGGTTCTGGGAAGTCCTCCCGGGCTCCCCGGAGGAGGTGCCGCTTCATGGTCCCTGGGAACTTAGCTTCGGGAAGCCGCGGGGGAGAATTTATAGAAGCTCCAAATGCGGGCCTTGTAGCAACCGTCGGGGAACGGTCTTGGCGAAGGTCTATGCGCTCGGGAACTTTTGCCGATTGCTTCTGGGAGGTTGTCAGGCACCTAGCACTGCATTTATCTGACAGGGCAATGCAAACGCATCTGCCTGGCGCCTGGTTACCGGGCTTACCCGTCGCCACCCTCAGTCACGGCCTAGGCTCCCTCTCCCTGCTTGAGTGGGATCCCGCCGCCTGGTTTCGCCCGGCAAAGGCCCGGCGTCGGCCGCAGGAACTCGGGGTAACTGCGCTGGAACTTTACTCCGCCCCGAGACCGGGAAAGGCCCCGAGGGCCCTTAGCAACTGGCAGGTGAGAAAGGTAGCAGGGAACGAACCAAAATAAACACCCCCTGGCTGCCGGGAAAGAGAGGGCAGGAAATAAGGCCGCGGCGAAAACGCGTGACCCACAGATGACCCCCTGAGGGTGATGCACAGGAAGCCAAATGCTCGGACTCTGTGCAGTTTCAGAGAATGTCACCGTGAGTTACCAAAGCAGTTGGGGGACAGGAAAGGGGGTACTGTCTCCTCCGCCCTCAGGGTGGGGGCGGTCAGGCCACAATCGGGCGGGCGGGAAGGGCGGGCGGGCGTCCTCCACCGACCCCGCGGCAGGGGGGGCGCCCCTGAGGCCGCCCGGGTTGGCGCTGCGAGGCCCCTGGTCCTGCACGCACGCGGCCGGGGAGCAGGCTCCGCCGAGTGTTGGATACCAAGTCCGCAGACGCCAGGGCGTGCCGTGCAAGGGTGAATTCAGTTTTGTTACAGCGGGAGGGGACAGACCTAGGGCTACGCCAGCGCGCCAGAAACTTCAGCGGTGGAATTAGAGAATCGAACTTCAGACCAAACTAATTTTTTTCGGTCACATTGAAAGTTCTTAGTGATCATGATCATCTTTATCAGTAGTTGCTCGAAATTCAAAATAGGAACCTAAAAAAAGAAAAAAAAGAAAAAAAAAAGTAAGAACCGAACACAATCCAATCTACTTTTAAAGAGCAAAACGAGGAGCTTTTCTTTGTTATTTCTCTAGCCCTGATAAACAGTCTGTCTAGATTAAACAGTGAGGAGAACCCTCGAACACTGGGATTTGGGGATCTGTGTGCGTTTTCTGAAAGGGAAAATCGTCCCGTGCGTGACAGAGAAGATTCTAAAAAGTAAAAGCAAAGTTTGGCAAAAAGAAAGAAAGAAAGAAAATGCCATGAACTTTCGCCTGGGAGCTGCCCTGGAAAAGCGAATTTCCTGAGAGTGATGAGAACCGTCTCGGGGCTGGGGCTGCGCTTCCCTGGAGGAGTCCTCGGCCTGCCAGGTGGCACGTGGCGGGGCCCGCAGAGAACCCTGCGCGGCTGCCTCCGGGGGGCCGCCGGGTGGGGGGGGGCTGTCCCCGAGCCCTCCCGGACCGAGGCCACGCGCCGGCAGGCTGACCTGGAAGGCTCACTTGCCTGCCCCTGCGCCTCGCCCCCCCCACCCCCACCCCCCCGTGCTGCCTGGTGGCACTTGGGTCAGCCTGAAGCCCGCACAGCCGAGCTTCGTCGCCCCGCACCTCCCGGCGTTTGGCAAAGGGGATCCCATCGGGGGCGGAAAGATCCATCCATGGAGCGCGAGTCAAGCCTTTGGGTGTGTCGTTATGTCATCAGCATCTTCCCACCGTCTTCGCCAGGTCCTGCACAGCTCACCTGCAGAGACAGACTGTGGTTCATGTGTGTCTTGGGGACCGGCGGGGCCGACGAAGGGGGCAGCGGGGGTGCTTGGGGCCACGGGAGCTGGAACCCTCCTGGCAGCGCGCCCAGGGCCCCAGCGTTGCAATCGCTCCGAAGTGCGTGGCAAGTCCAAGGACTTCGACCGTGGAAAAGTTGAAACCTGTTGATCTAAAGTTCTTTCGGGAAGACTTTCCTTTTTTCTTTATTTTAAAGAAAAAAATAAAAAAGCGTTGGCCCTCAAGACAGTTTGAACACACAGAGAAGAGAAACCCTCAGAGAACCCGGAGAAACAGCTGATCCGCACAACTGTGCGCCCCACCTGGGCGCGCAGGTGGTTCCCTACCCCGCCACGGAGGGCTCATTTGGCTCCCGCGGG